TTTGGTGGGCCCGGGCTGGGGATTTGAACCCGCCACCTTAGGTGTATGTGGCTGGCGCCTTAGCCACTTGAGCCACAGGCGCCGAGCCAAGGCCTAAGTTCTTACCTCCAAAGGGCTTAAAATCTTTTAGAACTCAGAGTTTAAAAGAACACAAAATGTTGAGAATAATGTGCTAATGAAGAAGTGACAACATACAAGACACAGGTGCTAGGCTCAGCGGCTGTGGCTCAAGTGGCTAACCGCCAGCTACATATACCTAAGGTGGTGGGTTCAAATCCAGCCCAGCCCGCCAAAACAACAATGACGGCTGCAATCAAAAAATAGCCAGGCGCTGTGACGGGGCCTGTGGTCCCACCTACTTGGGAGGCTGAGGCAGACTCCCTTGAGCCCAGGAGTTGGAGGTTACTGTGAGCTGTGATGCCACAGCACTCTACCCAGGGGGATAGCTTGAGGCTCTGTCTCAAAAAAAAAAAACACAAAAAAACCCAACAGAAGTGCTAAAAGGAATAACCTCATGCTATCACTGACAAGCCACCAAGGCCACGTCCACTAAAACAAGGATGAAAGAGGAGGCCAGAAATTCAGGTGTCTAGTTTTAGCCTTCCTGATTGCAAGAAGCAGAAACACTCAGGTATCTTGTTTTAAGAACAGGCAGTGTTTACTAGTGAATGAGGAAAAGGAAGTGATTTATAGAATCTTGGTTCTTGGAGGTTCTGCAATTCAGTTTAGCTTCTAAGATAAGCTCTTGAAAAATTAACTGGTGGTTAGCACCTTTGGGGTTACTTAAGAAAATGGCGTTTGATGGCGTCTCACCCAGACTGCATATTGGTCAACTGAGTATTGACTGATTTTGTTGAGTCGCCATATCTCGTCCCGCTTGCACTCGCAGGGCTTCTTAAACCCACACCGAAAGGCATCCGCCTGACCGCCCACCCATGGAGGGGGTGAGACTAGATAAATACTTTATAAGGGCGGTTCAATTAAGATTAAAATGAGCCCCAGTAATAAAGAACTGCGCGCCGAATGCCTTGGCTTTGACACTTGTTGAGCAGCAGGGCTCCGCTGAAGCATTCCACCTAATCCCAGTAAAGACGTCCCCAAAGGAAGGCCAATATGGCGACGAACTGCTCTTGGCACAGCCCTCTTCCCTCCCTCGTGATGGGCGGCTAAGGTAACTCCCATTGGCCAACTTGGAGGCGGTGCCAGGCTTACTTCGTCCCCTCATTGGACTAAATAACTGACGGAGCGGCCAATTTTCCTCTGCTCACTCCAAGTTCCCGCCCTCAGAGTTTATTCGGCGTTTAATTGGCTTTTAGTTCACGTCCCTATCCGTCCTTTCCTGTCTCTTTCAGGTACTAAGCCAATCATGTCTTCTTGGGCTGCCCGCCCGATTTCTGATTGGTTTTGATCATTTTCATCCTATCCCATTCCTGCCTACTTCTTACCTTTCCTCCCACTAGGATTTTGCCCAGGCACGTCCAGGATTCTGGTTGGTCGTTGTTGTGTCATTCCTGTAAAACCTCTCCCTATCCTTACCGCTCAGGGAGCCCGCCTGGCGATTGACTGGTTTCCTTCGAAGCCTATCATCTGTAGTTCCCGCCCATCTTCACTTCCTGCAAGTTTTATTGGTCTTGAAAACTGAGAGGGAGGTCTTTTTGGGCGGACAGCAGGCACGCAACTTTGTCTTACACGCCTTAGAGAGCAAGTCAGTCTTGCCATTGGATAACCTGACCGTCTTTTTTCCGTAAGTCCCTCCTTTCCCCCTCCCTCATTGGGCGGGGCAGCAGTGAAGGGGCGGGGCCTAGGCCGGGCTTGTGGCGCGCTGCTCCCTCCTCCTTACCCCCCCCTCCCTGTCCGGTCCGGGTTAGCTTGCCTCGTCAGCGTCCGCGTTTTTCCCGGCCCCCCCCAACCCCCCCGGACAGGACCCCCTTGAGCTCGTCCCTCAGCTGCCACCATGAGCGGTAAGGATGAGTCCACTCCAAGCTTAGGGGTGGGAGGGGAGTGAGGGGGCGCGCGCGAGGGCCGACCGGGCGGTCCCCGCCGTGAGGGGGGGGCGGGCGGGAGGCGGCGGCGGTGGCCTTGGTCCCGCCCGGGGCGGAGGGAAGGGAGGGAGAAGGGGCAGTGGCGGGGCCTCCGAGGAAGAGGGGGATGGGCCGCCCGCCCCGAGGGAGGGGGCAACGTGGCCTCGCCCGCCCCCTGCCCGCCCCGGCCACGGGGGACGGCCCTTACCCCCCACAATTCGGCCGCCGGCCTGAGGCTCCTCCCGCCGGGGGCTGGAGTCGCGGGGGCGGCCCGAGCAGTGCCGGCCCCGCCCGGGCCAACCGCCTCCCTGGTCCGCCCTCTGGTCGCCGCCTGCTCCTAGGCCCTCCTCCCCCCACTTTCCGGAGATTTCCCCCCTCCCCCCCTACTGTCCCGCCCTTTCCACGCCCCTCACCCCGAAACCGCCCTTTCCCTCTAGGGCCCGCCCTCTCTCCGCCCCAAAACCTCCTGATTTCTGACACCTAGACCCCTTTAGTCACTTAGCAGTGTATACAAATGTTACCCCACTCGCACTTTTTACGTCTTCTTTACCTCTTTCCCCTTCTCTTTTGTTACTTTTCACACTTGTATTTTTCTTTCTCCGTCTCTTTTAACCCTAATTTTAGCAAGCATTTCACACACCAACATGTTTTTTGCTTTACCTATTTTTTTTTCTCCCAGGATATTTTTTCTTATTTTGAATCTCTTTTCAAATGCGTATCGTCCTTCCTATTTCCTTTCCCCCCAAAAGCAGTTTCTGAATGTTTTTTGAGTTTAATTTTGTGCAAGAGAGACCTGATCCCCAGTTTTGGCACCACTGGTCTTAGTTCATGTCCTACAACTCCCCCTTTCCCTATCCATTTTCTTTTCACTGGCGCTTTCCAACTTTCTGTTATACATTGCTGTTTCATCATAGCTTCCTTTTGCCCTTCCTCACTTTACCCTTTTCTTCCCCCAACTTTAAGTTGTTTATCTTTTAATTTTTTTAGACCCTGATCACTCCATGGATGAAATGACAGCTGTGGTGAAGATTGAAAAAGGAGTTGGTGGCAGTAACGGGGGCAATGGTAATGGTGGTGGTGCCTTTGCACAGGCTCGAAGCAGCAGCACAGGCAGTGCCAGTAGCAGCAGTGGAGGAGGAGGAGGACAGGTAAGTAATTATCAGAGACAGTGTGGGGAAGGTGTTGAGAGGATGTAAACATTCTTAGATAAAATTGCCTCACTCTTTACAGAAAGCTTTTTAGAAGGACTAAACCGTTTTATAGATAGGGAAGTAAACATAGAGAGACAAGTGACTTGGAGATCCCCACAGATGGGACTTTCCACAATACAGATAAGACAGCTCTTTGATTTTGGGTTTTGCTTTTCGTGCTATGTTGCTGTTTAATTGTTGCATACCGCCCCCTAGGCCGGCAGCTGGGTGTCATTAACTCCTTTCCTCTCCCTTATTTTCTGGCCAGGAATCCCAGCCATCCCCTTTGGCTCTGCTGGCAGCAACTTGCAGCAGAATTGAGTCACCCAATGAGAACAGCAACAACTCCCAGGGCCCGAGTCAGTCAGGGGGTACAGGTGAGCTTGACCTCACAGCCACCCAACTTTCACAGGGTGCCAATGGCTGGCAGATCATCTCTTCCTCCTCTGGGGCTACCCCTACCTCAAAGGAACAGAGTGGCAGCAGTACCAGTGGCAGCAATGGCAGTGAGTCCTCCAAGAATCGTACAGTGTCTGGTGGGCAGTATGTTGTGGCTGCCACTCCCAACTTACAGAACCAGCAAGTTCTGACAGGACTACCTGGAGTGATGCCTAACATTCAGTATCAGGTAATCCCACAGTTTCAAACCGTTGATGGGCAGCAGCTGCAATTTGCTGCCACTGGAGCCCAAGTGCAGCAAGATGGTTCTGGTCAAATACAGATTATACCAGGTGCAAACCAACAAATCATCACAAATCGAGGAAGTGGAGGCAACATCATTGCTGCTATGCCAAACCTACTCCAGCAGGCTGTTCCCCTCCAAGGCCTAGCTAATAATGTGCTCTCAGGACAGACTCAGTATGTGACCAATGTACCAGTGGCCCTGAATGGGAACATCACCTTGCTACCTGTCAACAGCGTTTCTGCAGCTACCTTGACTCCCAGCTCTCAGGCAGTTACGATTAGCAGCTCTGGGTCCCAGGAGAGCGGATCACAACCCGTCACCTCAGGGACTGCCATCAGTTCTGCCAGCTTGGTATCTTCGCAAGCCAGTTCCAGCTCCTTTTTTACCAATGCCAATAGCTACTCAACAACTACTACCACCAGCAACATGGGGATTATGAACTTCACCACCAGTGGATCATCAGGGACCACCTCTCAAGGCCAGACACCCCAGAGGGTCAGTGGGCTACAGGGATCTGATGCTCTGAACATCCAACAGAATCAGGCATCTGGAGGCTCACTGCAAGCAAGTCAGCAAAAAGATGGAGAGCAAAACCAGCAGACACAGCAACAGCAGATTCTTATCCAGCCTCAGCTAGTTCAAGGGGGACAGGCCCTGCAGGCCCTTCAAGCAGCAGCACCATTGTCAGGGCAGACCTTTACAACTCAAGCTATCTCCCAGGAAACCCTCCAGAACCTCCAGCTTCAGGCTGTTCCAAACTCTGGCCCCATCATCATCCGGACACCAACAGTGGGACCCAACGGACAGGTCAGTTGGCAAACTCTTCAGCTGCAGAACCTCCAAGTTCAGAACCCACAGGCCCAGACAATCACCTTAGCCCCAATGCAGGGTGTTTCCTTGGGGCAGACCAGCAGCAGCAACACCGCTCTTACACCTATTGCTTCAGCTGCCTCCATTCCTGCCAGCACAGTCACTGTGAATGCTGCTCAACTCTCCTCCATGCCAGGCCTCCAGACCATTAACCTCAGTGCATTGAGTACTTCAGGAATCCAGGTGCACCAGCTTCCGAGCCTGCCGTTGGCCATAGCAAATACCCCAGGTAAGGCTTTCAGGTTTTTGCATGTGTAGTAATTAACTCTAGCATCTTAGTTGGAAATGTTGAGTCTAAAGAAGGAAATAGAGCCTTTTGGGATAACACGTCCTTGAAGGCTAGTCTTTTAGACGAGTCAGAGAAATAGCAGTGATTCTGTTTAAGTTATTTTGAAACTGAATTAAAGGAATCTTTTTTCAGTTAATCTGATGAGAAAGGAGCGCTTCAGGGTATTGTCTCAGGGTCCGCCTAGTTCCAAGGGTCTTTGGCGCTGCAGACTAAGTTGGCAAACTTTCTGTAAAGGGCCAGATAGTAAATATTTTAGGTCTTGTGGGCCGTTTTCTTTTTTTATATGTGTGTTTTTTGTTCTTTTTTTTTTTTAACATCCCTTTAAAAGGTAAAACCATTCTTAGTTCTAAGGCCAAAGCCTGTGGGCCACTTTTTCCATATGATAAAAATTATGAACATGACCTGTTTATAGAACAGTTATGATCAAGTATTTTTCACGAACTGTATACCTCTTAATTGAGAGAAAAGTGATCTAATGATTTCCAGAAAGATTTTTCAATAAAGTCTGCCCTGATTCATCTTTAGTTTACCAAAGTATCTCATATTCTTTGCAAGCTGGTTAATTAGGGTTTCATATTTTCTTTTGACTTTCTAGTTACCTTAAAAACAGAATCTGGCCGCTTCTCCTTAGACTAATGTATGTTTTTAATGAGCTGCCTAGGTGATTCTGATACTTCTTAGGTAGAGAACAACTTCTTAGAGTGCTTTCTTTGAAAGTACTGTGTATGGTTGGGAAGGGAGGAGAACGAAAGAGAGTGGGAAAAGGTGGAGTCTGGACTAGAGTGGGGAGGGAAGATTGAGAGAAGCTAGGAATAAAAAGAGCATTAAAGGGAAAGTGAATTAGAGAAGAGGTATGTATATATTGGAATGCATGCTGAGTCGGTTAACCACAATATTCAGTCTTTCATTTTGAACTGTGTTTCACTATTAGTTAATTTGAAATTTAAAACATATTCACAAAATAAAGGTGAAAGTCTATTTAGAATTTAATTACACTGTATGGGCTCATTGCCTATAGCTCAGCAGCTAGGGTGCCGGCCACGTACACTGGAGCTGGCAGGTTTGAACCCAGCCTGGGCCTGCCAAGGAACAATGACAACTACAACCAGAGAATCGTGGGGCGTTGTGGTGGGCACCTGTAGTCTGGGCTACTTGGGAGACTGAGGCAGGAGAATTGCTTAAGCCCAGGAGTTTGAGGTTGCTGTGAGCTGTGACACCATGGCACTCTACTGAGGGTGACATAGTGAGACTCTGTCTCAAACAAACAAAAAAGAATTATACTGTATGGCGATAATCTTTCATAAAGCATATTATGCGGGTTTTTTTGTTTTTCTTTTTTGAGACAGAGCCTCAAGCTATCCCCCTGAGTAGAGTGC